TTTTTTTTTTCAAATACGTTGAGAGTATGACTTGAACTATACTGTTATTCCTGTCTAGGTCCTCGAGACAGGGTCATCATCATATATGGTGTCATTATCAGTGACTGAACTTATTGCTCGTTCGGCGAAGCACGTGCTAAGACAGTATATGAACACGCTGCCCCAGGTAACTTGCTTGCTATCGATGTTCGATGTTTGTGAGAAGATTTGATTGCTGCGTTTATAGGAGCAGCTTGGTTGCGCAATCTCTCATCTCCTCAATGCAGTATTTGGCAACCTCGCGTTTGATCATTCATCGGGAATGAATGGTGACAGGAATACCAAAAGAGTGAGAATTTACATTTTCTTCTTCCTTCTTTCCTTTTTATCCTTATGTTCTTTCCTCACTTCCTTCCTTTTAGAGTAGCAAGAAGTCAAAGAAAGCGTCCGCAAGTGGTGAATGGGTTGCGGTCAACACGAAAGAGTTCTGGAATATGCTTTGTCAAGAAGCCAAGAACTACTACGCATTTGATCTCAAGGTACATAATCATGAAACTGTGATGATTACGTGTTATGCACATAAGTTTCAGGCTGACTGCATTGATTCCGTCGTGGAGCAGTATGGCATACAGAAAGTATCTTTGCTACGTCGTTTGTGTAACACACTGGGAATTCAGCTGCTCAGCAGGGTTGGTCACCTCTGGCCTTTTTCGCAATTGATGACTTGATTTTTTTTTACCGTCATGCTTTTTGTTTCATTTGATACTTGTTAGCATGACCGCCTTTCTCATTTAGGATTACCAGCTGGAAGCAAATTCGACAAGAACGCGACAACCGTTCACAGAGGAGGATATTCTGAACTTAATACCAGTTACGAAACATAGACAGGTACGTGTATTACCATCTGTTTAGACGGTTTTGACTTTACTCTGTTTAGCCTTGTGCCAGTGACGCCAAGAAATTGTTTGCTCGCGGCCAGCAAGCTATGCAAGTCGGACATCTGCGCGAAGCGTATGAGTGTATCGCCGAATCGGTAAATCCATTCATTTTCTCACGTTCTTTTGGTTTTTTCTCATTTGTCGTCTTCTCGAACTTCTAAATATATTTTCGCAATTTCATCCACCTAAATTCAGGTTAATTTGATGACGTCTGTTTATGGCGCCATGCACAGTGAGCTTGCTCAAGCTCTTCGACTTCTTGCTCGCCTTTCCTACATACTTGGCGATCCAGCTGAAGCTGTCGCTCAGCAGCATCGCGCAGCGCTTATGAGTGAGCGCTGCAACGGTATAGATCATGCATACACTATTATTGAATATGTGAGTTCTGTAATTACCTCATGACCGGAAGTTCTCACGAGTTACGGCTGTTTTCAGATAAACCTTGCCCACTTTGCTTTCTCAAACCTCTATATTCCTGCAGCACTTAGACTTTTGTATCGTGCTAGATATTTGTTGCTAATCGCACATGGAGAAAATCATCCTCTGATGGCCCAAATTGATGTAAGTTTGCATTTTTATTAACACATTCACGTCAATATGATCCTCCGGTGGGTCGCACTGTCCTGCCATTTGAACAATACGACTCACCGGTGGATCGTACTTTTCTGAAGATTTTGATTTTCGGTTATAGTGAAGCTTTTTATATTTCTTGTAATACTTCGAAGGAAGATTAACATCTGTGGCTATAGCACCCATCATGGTCAGAGATATCGCGCAAACTCAATGTTGTCTAATATGCTTTGCTCCGAAATGGCAGCCAACGAGAATTGGACTTGTCGTGAATGTGTCCATGACCAGTTTTTCCTAACACTTTTTAGGGAAATATTGGAGTCATTCTGTTTGCCGTTCATGAATTTGATGCAGCCCTACGCTTCTTGCAGTCGGCAGAAGCCGCCATGGCAGCAAACGGAGAACCCAAGCGTCTCAAAGTTGGTGTCAAATAAACATCTTGTTTGTATCTGTTATGTAGTATTGTACTTTAGTCCGCACTAGTACAACATATCACCGCCCGCGCACATGCATCTCGTGGAGATTTTCGAGCAGCTTTAGCAGCTGAAAAGGAAACTTACTCGATTTATAATGGATTGTTTGGACCAGAACACGAAAAGACCAAGGTTATTTTTTATACGAGATGTTTTTGTTATCATTAAAAACTAGTGTCATCGCAGGAATCAAGTGAATACCTAAGTCAGCTGACCATGCAGGCCGTTGCTTTCCAAAGGAAAGTTATGGATGCAACTAAAGGGAACAGCGTTGGTCCCCTACTCCCGACACAGGTTTGTTGAAACAATTTGAAAAATTTCATCAGTCCATGCAGCCTTCAACATTAGAAAAACAGTTTTTCCAAGAATGCAAAGAAAATTTTATTTTATTTTTCAGATACGTTCTTTTTCCAATCTCTTAAACATAAAACCTCTAATATCCATTGTTTTTGAATTCGAAGCACCTGTCTATTCTTATCTCTTTCGAGTGTCCTTTTGAGACTTAAAGGCAGCGGCTCGACAAAATTTCGTTTTCCAGTTTTTCA